TCATGAAATGGGAGCATTTTAATTTTTATTACTTTACAGGGGTAAAGAAGCACTTAGGTGTAATGACCAGTGAATTCCTGAACAAGTATTGTTATGCAATATATAAGATAAAGACTAAACCTAGTGACTGAAGTTGAGCTCCAGCATTATTTTAATATTTATGTAGGTAGACCTAAGCCACAGAGGGTTCATTCAGTTACTGTATTTATGTATAATTCTGGTAGAGAATGAAGTTTCCAAAAATGTAGATGTACCTGTTAAGTAAATTGGTTTTTAACATCGGTTAAGTTTGTTTAAAAATGTTTCATAGTGACACATTTTATGTGATACTTTGGTGAGTTTAGTTTAGCCAGAAGAACATAACATAATTTCAGTAGTACGATTTTTTTTTTTAATTTACAGAAGATAACTAAAGTTGGAAACCATCACTGTTTGTGCACTGAGCTCATACATTCTGATTTCCAAACAGCAGTTTACACTGTCCTGTGCAGCAACGGGAGGTTGGGGCTGACAATGGGCAGGGAGGCTGGGGAGGTCAAGGAAAAACATAGTTGGTTTGGTACGAAACTCCTGGCTGCTCCAGTAGGAAGAGCTGGATCCCCCAGCTCTGCAGTCCTTTTGAGGAGAGAGACGGCGTTAAACTTTGCTCACTGGAATTTTATTGGAAGATGATTAAATGACCATTAAGTCTGCCATTTTACTCCTTCACTAATCCAATCTCCAGCCTGTGCTCACAGCCCCTCCATCCACCGGCTGTTGTAATTATTCTGTAGGATCCAGCCTGTGTCAATTACTACCTTTCATTCAGTTTCACGTAAGCATACTTCTTCATAACAAAAGTTACTATATGAAAAAAAAAAAAAGTGAAGATTTGCAAGTCATGGGAATATTGGCAACCAAGGAAATGGGGATAGGAGTTGAAAATATATTGCCTGGAAACACTGTGCAGTATAAGATATAGCAGTTGCTGTCTTGAGTGCATGTCCCTGGCAATCCTGCTCCATTGGGTGCTCACCTCTGAGTGGTCTTTACCTGCCATTGGAAATACTGTGGTTTACATCACATCTTGCTTTCAGGATGCTTTTTGGCATCTGCAGTATGTTATAAAGATGTTGTGTTCTTTTCACCACCCTTTTCATCCTTTTGGAGGAGAAGGGAGAAGAAAACTAGGATATGAACTGGAACTAATAAGCTGCAGAGAAGGAGAATCCCTCTAATTCTCAGACCCTGTTTTGGCAAGCCAAATGCCTTTGATTTCAGATAGGATTTTGAATGTAGTTCTTACATTAAAAAAAAAAAAATAAAGACAGGAATTGTCACTGTGTACTTTCGATAATTCCCAACTGAAAAACAAACAAGCAAAAAGCACAAAAGGAAAAAAACAAGAGAGTTTGAACTTTGGAACATCTATACTTAGACTAAGGGAGGAACTCAAAAGTCATTTTCTGTGGACTGTCACCTAGCGGAAGATAACTCTGGCCAGGCTGTATGTCTGCAATCTGAAGTAAGCTCTAGCACTCGTGCACAGTTGGCTGTCCATTGGCATGGCATTCCTTTGTACCGCCCTTGGCCAGTGCCAGCGAACACTCCGAGATGATGCCCAAGCATGGTTTGCAGGTAGCAAGATATTGTCAGATTGCCCCTTCCACCTATGATCTGGCCATGCACATTGCCATCTTTGCATTGTGCCCCCAGCTATGGATGTGATCAGCCCAACAGTGCTGGACTTGGCTGGCATTTGACCTCAGGCAGACCGGAGCCCTGTGTTTGGGCTGCCCATGCTGGACTGACCCTGCTGGTGAGCACTGGCTGAAGTGACCAGGCCCTTCAGGACTGATTGGGTCCTGGGGCATCATCTAGGCCTTCCCATCTCACTGAAATTGCCTCTCTGCTGCAGGCAGCATGTGTGGGCTGTACATCTGGGTACAGAAATGCAAGTTTTCTGTGGAGTTTGTCACTTACCACCCCAGACAAGCCCCCAAACACCATTCTAGGCCATCTGTACTTCTGCTGCCATGTATGAATGTTTATTTTCTCAGGCTCTCGGTCTAGTATGTAAACTATGTACAGAACAAAGGACATTAATGTGACTTTCTAAGAGGGCAAGAGCATGTGTTTAAGTAGGTAAAACTTGAGCGTGTCCCATTAGAGCTGGACTTTCTTCCAGCTCTGATAGCTGCAAAGAGCTGCTTCACACCACAGCCTGTGAAGAGCACAGTGTATTGGATCTCCCAGCAGAGCAGCCTCAGGCCCCCTGGCTGCCTGGACAGCCCGCCTGGGACAGGGAACCACACGGGGCTGGTGGCTGGAGGAGTGCAATCCGTTTTGGGTGTCACGTGGGGATGCCTGTTGAATGCAGGAGCCTGCACAGGGCTTGCAGGAGAATATGGTGGATTCTTGGAAGTGCGCCTGACTGAGCTGGGTTATACAAACACTAACAGCAATTCCCAGTGCCTCTTAACTCAGTTTAAACTGTAAAGGGCTTCACAAGGCCAGGAAAAGGTTATCCCTTTGGCAACAGTGCTACCAATTGTCTCATTTTCACAAAACCACAGGGTGGTAAAAACTCTTCAGAGGCATTTAGAGGGATCTTCTGTGATGGAAAGGGTTAAAGCGTAGCTCAGGTTTTACACTTTGTTAATTGCCAGGGTTCCTACTGCAAGCTTTTATTTTGCAGATGTTGAGATTAGAAGCAGCACTGTGATCCTCTGGTGTGACCTCTGACATAGCCATTGCTGTGCTGAGCCAAATAATGTGTGGGTCGGTTTTGCTTTAGAAAAGTCTTAATCCTCTTAGTGGCAGAAACTTCTGCCCCAGTGGTTAATGGTTGTCTTCCAAAATGTACCTGTTTGCTTCTGGCTTTGTTTGGTGCTATGTAGTCTGCAGCTGAGAAAAATACTTGGTGTTTCGTTTAGAAAGGGAGGTTCCAGTAAGCATTTGCCTTACCTCCCTTGGGTAGACTGCCGTCATCATTGCTATGGAGCTGCTAGAAGGCTGAAGTGAGCCCTGTGCACTACATGACAATGTCCACTGTGGGAGCTGTGGGTGGCATTGCTGCTGAGTGTAATATAAAGAGCAGCAACATGTCGGCAGTGAGCTGCTGCTAGCACTGCATTCAGTTGAAGTGGAGCTGGCACCTGAGGGCTGCCAACATGGTGTGTGCTGGGATTGAGTTCAGCTAGGATTGCCTTCCTTATAGCACTCCTTTCTTATCAGAAATAGTAATTCTATATGCTTACCTGGAACACACTCTAGCATCGGCATAGCTGACTGAATTAGCAGCTGAAGGCCAGGTTATGCCAGAAAAACAGGCCTGTAAAAGATATCAGTTCATAGGGATTGAGAGAATGCTCTGGCTCCAGTAGGTCAGTTCTCAACCTCTGTGAGCTATTTTTCTATTAAAGAAGAGGTCTAAGTTAATGAATTGTTTTGTGTGAGAATTAATGCTAGATGAGTCCCCTGTGGCTTTCATGGTGAGGGTCAAATAAAATATTAATGAAATTAAAACAAACAATCCCTGTTCTTCCCAAGTATCTTCTATATGAGTGTCTCAGCACTGGCCAGGGAAGATGAGGAATCCCACAAGGAGCAGGTCAGGGAAATTACTTTTGTGTTTTATGAGCAGGGAGATGGATGCAGTGGAAAGCAGCGACTCAGGCCATGCAACTCAGCAGCTGGGCTATGAGCTCTCCCATCCCATGCTTTTGCTCTGATCTCTGGGTTCAGCTCCCTTTGGAGAGTGCTTCCAGACTCCAGCACTGACCAGTTAGAGGCTGACCTCTCCAAATCTGGGATGGCCTCTAGGAGTGCTGAGTTCCCAAAACTTCCCAATGCTTCCAGAGCCAAGCATATAACCCAGAAGACAAGTGTATGTTTCCTGATGCTTCAACCACAGGACAAATTTTGTTGTCTTGCAGGTTGTCCATCTAGATGTTGGGTGCAGGAGCTTGTACAACAGACTGGAGAAGGACGGCCTCTTTGGATATGCCTGTGCAGTGCAGGGCAATGCAAAGGGTCCTGAGCTGGAGCCAAGCAAACCAGCCTCAGAAGCAGCATTCCTTACTGACCCCAGCACAGCTCCCAGGCTAACAGAATCATGGTGTTTTCATACTCTGAACTAGGAACCCTCTGGCATCATGGGGTGTTAAATATCTAACAGTGCTTTCAGGACATGGCACAGATTGTAAGCTTGTTCAGAGGGAGCTTGGAAATCTCCCTGCTGGTGCAAAGTTCTGTGCATTTCCAGGTATGACACTGATACATAGAGAAACAGCAGAAGGGATGGAGACGAAGGAGGTCTAAGGAGATGGTCCAAGCTAAGCAGAATGATGCTGTTTGTGCCATGCAACATCAAAGCTAAATGAATGATCTTGCACCTATTTTGGACACTGAGTAGCATGAGCAAGACTTGTCACATACCCATCCTAACATGCTGGTATATGTGAGCACGTGTGTGTGGTCTGGGGAGGTCAGGGCTGTATTATCCTCCTTGCAGCAGAGATCTCAGGGGGCTTATTACACAGACTTAGATAATGATAACACGTGGCCAGTTAAGGATAACTTACTGCAGCGGCAAGTGCAAAGAGGAACTTCTGAAGGCAGAAAATTAGTGGTGATTGTTTCTGTTTTTTTTTTTTTTAACTCTTATCTCTCTCTGGAGATAAATCAACAAGGAAATGGAAGTACTAAAATGCTTCCAGAGGAAAATCAAAATACTGATAACTCATTCCTCCCTGCTTCCCTTGAAAAATTTCTGTTGCATCCTGACTGCCTCACATAATGTTTGTATCAGTCCTAGAAACTGCAAATCAGAGATGACAGTGAACAAATCTTTTCTCCTACTAATGGGAAAATTTATTGCATTCTTGGTAAAGATCCTTACATCTGTGCGTAATAACTAAAGAAACAGTAATAATTTTGTCATATTTCTATAACAAACCACAAAAGGATGTTCCATAGTCTACTCACTGTTTCTCCCCATCTTCTTGTCTCCCTTTCAGTGCCCACCAGGGTCGTATTGCCTTGCTGGTGTAAGCCCTCCCTTCCAGAAGACCTGCTCTGGCCCACCTCAGTCTCCCTCAGAACAGCGGAAGGGGGCTGCAGAGCGATAAAAATTTATGTTTTCATCAAGCCGTGCCAAGGAGAATGGGGGTCCCACACCCAAAAGAATGAAGACACGACAGAACAAGGACTCGGTACATAAGGTGGAAGAGGGAGGTGGGATCCCTGTGACCAGCAAGTGCCGTGGGTTGGGACTGAGGCTTGCAGCAGAAGTGGTGAACATGAGTTTGATGTGGTGGAGTGTCAGGACGTGGGGCTTTGGGAGGGCAGGGGGCAGGGCAGGAGTGGAAGGAGGTGCAAAGTAGAATTTATCTGATGATCCCTTTCCAGATGTCTATGCGGAGTGGACGGAAGAAAGAGACTCCAGGGCCCCGAGAGGAGCTCAGGTCACGGGGTCGAGCTTCCCCCAGTGGTGTAAGCACCTCCAGCAGTGATGGCAAAGCTGAGAAGTCCCGACAAGCAACAAAGGTAGTATGAAGTAGTGTGCGGCTGTAGGGTGCCAAAGGGCTGCTCAGAATGGGCATGACCCGTTTGGGAATGCAGACCAGATGGGATCTACCATGCAACCCATGCTGAGTTAGCTACCTGTAGGGGTTGTATTCCTTTCTTTGTGCTTCCTGGTATCTCAATTTTCAATACTGCTTTTTGCTATATCCTGGCTCAGTGTTGCCACTACAATGTCCCACTGCCTGCTATGATCTGCAACAGAAAGGGTGCTGTGTCTCGCCTGCTGCCAGCTGGCAAAGCTGGGCAGGGTGGGAGGTTTCCCTGTGGCCCTCTCACCTCTTTGTTTTCTCTCGTCTGCCTTGCAGAAAGGCCGGGTGGAGGAATCCTGCACCCCCAAGGGCAGCAAGCAGAGCCGAACAGAAGAGATCTCTGAAAGTGAGGGGGAGGACAGCAATGCTCCTAAAAAGACCAAAACTGAGGTGAGTTCTCTCTGTTACGGTTACTGGCACATTCTGGACCCTACCTGTGCTGCTCACATCTTCCTAGCTTGAGATTCTGTTTGCTTGATAGCTCTGTCACCTCAGATTGTGCCCTGCAGCTCTTCTGCAGGCAGAGCCCAAGTGACACCTGCAGTTACGCCTATGTAATTTCTCCACGTGGATGCTGCTCAGCTCAGCACTGATCTTTCTTTCAGTTGAACTGCTCTTGTAGGCTCTGAGGCTCACTTGTTTGTTGCCACATTAACTGCTTAATCACCAAGCAGTGGAAGAGTTCAGTGGGAAACACAAAGGGAACCCCAAAAGGTAAGGAGTGGGGCAGAGAGGACTTGCTCAGGGCAGGGCTTGGAAAAGGACCAGGGAGCAGGCCTCTTCCTGAGCAGGGTGTCAAGGAAAGCCCTACTCAAGGGAAAACTGTGGGTCTGGGGGCTGTGTGGGCAGCACTACCTCCCCCCTTGCTGTGCCACCTGGTGGTAGTACTGGCTCATGTCTTGGCCAGCAGCCCATTACTGGTGCTGGTGCTGGGACCTTACAGGTGCCTTGTCTCAGCCTCATCTGTAACAGTTACTGTGCCTCTGAACATGAGATGCCCATCACCATCTCCTCCCCAAGTGTGTAATGAAGTATCCAAGAGCACCTGAGCTGCTGTTCCAAAGGGCAGCAAGAGAACTGCCAAATGAAGCCTCCTTCCCTCAGTGTGCTTTTCTAATGCTAGGGACAGCAGAGGAAGGTGAGATTGAAAAGTGTCATGCATTATCAGGGAGGTCACATAACTTTTTCTTCCTCTCACTACTTCAGGAATTACCCTGTCCTCCATCCCCTTCTGACGTTGACAGCCTCGATGGCCACAGCTTCAATGATGAGATGAGCAGCGACCCACGGGACATTGACCAGGATAACAGGAGCACCTCACCCAGTGTCTACAGCCCTGGCAGTGTGGAGAATGACTCCGACTCCTCCTCCGTGCTGTCCCAGGGCCCATCCCTCTCCTACCACCATCCTCCGCTCTTCCCCCAGAGCCCTCCGGTCGCCCCCACTTCTGACAACCTGGCCCGTCCACCTGAGCCTGGTTTCAGTCTCCCAGGCGAGGCCCACCCCCAGGGCCCCACTGGTGGAGGCTACCACTCCCAGCTGGAGGGCCAGGCCTCCCGCATTTTCCAGGCTCCAGCCCCACAGACACCAGCCTCCTCTTCTTCTGCCGTTGCCACCACTTCTGCCCCCTGCTCTTCTTCCTCCTCCTCTTCTTCCACTTCCACCCACGCTCCTCTCTACCCTACGGCCAATGTGGTTCAAGTTGGTTCCAAAATTGCTGGTGGAGCAGGGGGGCTCTCAGCACCGGGGAGTCGTGAGCAGACCCTCAGCGCCAAGCACAATCCACCACCCACCACTCCCATCTCACTGGCGTCGGTGGTTGGGGGGTTGCCCCCTCAGAAGACTTCCCCAGCCAACCCACCGCCTGCTCCCCCAGCCTCTGCACCTTCCTTCCCGCATGTCTCAGCCAACCTGCCACCCCCACCAGCCCTACGCCCACTGAACAATGTGGCAGCTGCCTCCAGCTCCCCAGGGATGGCAGGGCAGGCCTTGAGTGGGCACATGGCATCACCCCATGGGATAGGCCAGGACAAGGCACAGCCCCTGGCCCCCTCACGCTACCCCTATGCCCCTCCGCAGCTGCCACCCTCCAGTTCCTCTTCCCAGTACCCACAGCCCTCCCCCACCCAGCCCTTGCCCAGTTACACTGCCTCCTATGGGCACTCCTTTCCCCCGCCCAGCGGCCTTTCAGTGTCCAGCCAGCCCCCCAAGTACACCCAGCCCTCCCTACCCTCACAACCTGTATGGAGCCAGGCCCCTCCTCCCTACAGCCGCCCCCTGGGCAATGCCAGCTCGCATCTCCCAGCCTCCTTCCCCGGTCAGTCTCCTCATCACCAGCAACCACCGCAGCAGCACCACCATGGCCACAGCAGTGGTGGGGGGGTCTCCCCAGCTGTAGCAGCAGCCCCCCCACAACCCCCTGGGGGCTATCCCCATGCCCTGGAGTCCAATAGCCATCACCCATCTCATGCCACATATGGGTTGCGCCTCTACCCTCCCCACAGCCAGGCCACTTACAGCCAGGCTCCCTCAGCTGCTACAGCCCCTTCTTCCTCCTCCTCCTGTTCCTCCTCATCTTCTTCTTCCTCCTCCTCCACCTCTTCCCAGGGAAGCTACCCTTCCATATGCACTCATCCCCCAGGGCAGAGTCCTGCCACCTACACCTTCCCCCCGCCCCCACCCCCCTCCCCGGCCCATGGTGCTGGCCCTCCAGTCACCTCTGCAGCCACCACCCTCTCTACTGTCATCACCACCATGGCCTCTCCATCTGCGGCCCCCTACAAGACCGTCTCGCCCCCAATGCCTCCCTCAGCTGTGGCCCCATATGGGAAATGCGCAGCCTCCCCTGTCCCCACCTTCCAGCCCCCAGCTCCCTACAAGCCAAGCTCTCCTCCAGCTTCCTCGGCTGCTCCATTCCGGGCTGCAACCCCCCCAGGCTACCGGGTAGCATCCTCTCCTGTGGCCAGTGGCTACAAGGCCGCCTCACCCACCCCGCCTGCCCCACCGCTGCCAGGGAGCTTAGCCACCCCAGCCCCACCACTGCCGCTCAGCGCAGCCCAGATCAAGCAGGAACCATCAGAGGAGTATGAGCCCCCAGAGAGCCCTGTGCCACCTGCTCGCAGCCCCTCACCGCCACCCAAGGTAGTGGATGTGCCAAGCCATGCCAGCCAGTCGGCCAGGTAGGGGCAGGAAGATCCCCACCCTGCTCTTTCCCTGCTCCCCCTGCACTGACACGCTGCATTTGATGCCCCCAGGTTCAACAAGCACCTGGACCGTGGCTTCAACTCCTGCTCCCGCACAGACTTGTACTTTGTGCCCCTTGATGGCTCCAAGCTGGCCAAGAAGAGGGCAGACCTGGTGGAGAAAGTGCGGCGGGAGGCCGAGCAAAAGGCTCGGGAGGAGAAGGAACGAGAGCGGGAACGAGAGCGAGAGAAGGAACGGGAGCGGGAGAAGGAGCGGGAGCTGGAGAGGAGCGTGGTAGGTCCAGAGGATGCTGGAGGCTGACCTTGGCGGTGGGCCACAAGTATCCTGATGTTGTTTCTTTGCTATCTTGCAGAAGATGGCCCAGGAGGGCCGGCCAGTGGAGTGTTCCTCACTGGGGCCCGTCCCCCACCGCCCTTCCTTTGAGCAGGGCAGCGCTGTAGCAACCGTGCCCCCCTACCTGGGCCCTGACACCCCGGCCCTACGCACACTCAGTGAATACGCCCGGCCCCACGTCATGTCCCCCAGCAACCGCAACCACCCTTTCTACGTGCCGCTGGGTGCCATCGACCCAGGCCTGCTGGGCTACAACGTGCCAGCCATCTACAGCAGCGACCCAGCCACACGGGAGCGGGAGCTGAGGGAGAGGGAAGCCCGTGAGAGAGATCTGAGAGACCGGGACCTGCGTGAGCGCCTCAAGCCTGGATTTGAAGTCAAGCCAGCTGAGCTGGAGCAGCTCCATGCCGTTCCAGCTGCTGCCATGGATCCATTCCCACGCCATGGTGGGCTCAGCCTGCAGACAGCTCCCGGTCTCCATCCCGCCTTTCCCTTCCATCCTGGGCTGGGCCACTTGGAGAGGGAGAGGCTGGCGCTGGCAGCTGGCCCCACTCTGCGTCCTGACATGTCTTATGCTGAGCGCCTGGCAGCCGAGCGCCAGCATGCCGAGCGGGTGGCTGCTCTCAGCAATGACCCGCTGGCCCGGCTGCAGATGCTCAATGTGACGCCTCATCACCATCAGCATTCCCACATCCACTCCCACCTACACCTCCACCAGCAGGATGCCATACACGCAGGTAAGGACTGCACAGAGCAGTGCTCTGCTCCTGCTGCATCCCGTCCATCTGCCTCTGGAAAAGCCCAAATATTTCTGATGCAAGATTAGAGGGCCTTAGCCCCACCTATTCACCCAGAAAAGGTCACCCTCGCGATCCCTCGTGTACCTCCCATCCCACGAAAGACACTGTCATCTTTTGCAAAAGCCATGTGAGTCTGCTGCTTGGTGGAGAGCAGAACTGTTTTCACCACAGCTTTTAGTTTGGGTTTCTTAGAATGCAATGCCATGTGAGCACTGGCTCCACCATATTATGGGGCTGTGGGCTGCATTCCTCACCCTGGGGTCTGCTGAGAGCATGGGCGCCCTGATAACAGCAGCCTCAAAAGCATCCTTAATGCCAGGGAAATGTTGGCTCTGTAGTTTGCTCTGTAGTTTGCTCTGTAGTTTGCTCCTGCCACTCTTGGGATGGGATAGGGGGGAAGAATGGTAAGGAATTGGAGACAACCATCCTTCAGAATGGAGGTGGCCCCTTCCATTTCTTTGTTCCACAGGATACCAAGGTAAAAAGCAGCTTAATGAAAATCTCATGGAAGCAAAGCCCATACTATCGTATAATAGAAAGAAATTGCCTTGCCTACGGAGGTGCTGTGAAAGGTCAGCAGGATGTGGTGGCAGTCACAGGCAGATACCCGCATTAATCATCTGCAGCTGTTCAGAGGTGGCATTGGGTACAAGTGAATGGTGTGGCTCCAAAGCATTGGAAAAATCAGTTTTCATATAAAACAGTATCTCGCTTCTGGGTACAGGCTAGACGGTAGAGCAGGCCCTTGCAGAACCCACTCTGAAGAGTATGGGCACAGAGTATGGGCCACACTGCTTCACATGAAATTCAATGCAGGCAAAAGGAGTAACGCTCAAAGGCAATGGCACTGCATTGCATGCCTTGAAAGCATTCCAGTCCTAATGCAAAGCAACTTGCTCCGTACCTGTTTTGTTGTTGTGTCCTGTACTCTTCCCTTTGTGACTTACCAAGCACGAGACAACTACCTTTTGACATCTTTTCTTCCCAGCCTCAGCCTCTGTCCACCCTCTGATCGACCCCCTTGCCTCGGGATCGCACCTCACTCGGATCCCATACCCAGCTGGCACCATCCCCAACCCTCTGCTCCCTCACCCTCTCCATGAGAACGAAGTGCTGCGCCACCAGCTCTTTGGTAAGAGTGCTCTCAGACCTGCTTTACCCCTTCAGAGGGCATCAGCAGAGCACCGTGGGGCAGGGCGGCCCTGGGGGCTGTCACAAGATTGGTGGAGATCTATGAGGCAGAGCTCTGGCATGGTATGGGTTTGGGTGTAGCACAATGCCATTAAGTGCCGTGGAGCCTTGACTGGTGTGTAGGAGCACGGATGAAGCTGTGACACTAGCTTGTTCATTCTTTCATTTGTCTATTGGTACAGCTGCTCCCTATAGAGACCTGCCAGGATCTCTCTCTGCCCCCATGTCGGCAGCGCACCAGCTGCAGGCCATGCACGCGCAGTCGGCCGAGTTGCAGCGCCTGGCTCTGGAGCAGCAGCAGTGGCTCCATGCTCACCACCCTCTGCATGGAGTGCCACTCCCCACCCAAGAGGATTACTACAGGTACGTGCACCAAGCTCACACTTGGACTGAGCATAGCAGAAACACTGGGAAAGGGGCACATCTGTGTAAGCAGTGGGGTTAGAGATGTGTTTCCCTATATGTGTGTGACTCCAGACTGACCCCATGCTGGGACTGGGGATTGCTTGCTGCGGTGTACAGCTATCGGCTGTTGGCCAGAGGCTGTGGTGGGGCTTCCGCTCCTGTCCTTGGCAGGAAACCTGTTTCACACATGCCAATATAGTGATGAATAACAGATACCCTTGCCAAAATGCCAAGTATTCGAAGGGCTGGATGCCCTTGTCAAGGCAAGGCTTTCTCAGAAGCTTGTTGGGTAAGAAGTGCAGCATATTATGTTTTGGATGGCACCTCTTACATGAAGGATTTGCAGTGCCAAGCTGGCATTGCCATGCAGGATTAGGCTAGCAACTGGCATTTGCGCAACGCTAAGTAATTTCTCCCTATATCTTCCCTCTCACAATCACTTTGTTTCTCTCCTTTATCCTAGTCACCTGAAGAAGGAAAGTGATAAACCCCTTTAAATTGACTCCAACTGTCAACATGACATCCCTATGTCTTTCTGTGAACCAACCAAATCCCAGGGGAGGGGAAGCTGCAGTGATGCGTGTCAATCCTACCCTGCAGCACACTGCAAGAAAGGATGGGACAGAACTATGGTATGGCATCCTGGGAGCAGAATGTGGAGGAAAGCACACAGGGAGGGACTGCAACACCAATGATCGACTTGAAAGGATCTGTCCATGATGTCAGCAGAGCTCTGGAGGAATTAAAATCTGCATCACAAAGAGCTCACAAAGATAAAGACTCGTGTGAATTCAAGATTGCAGCAGCTCCATCTTTCGTTTTGAGGGAGCAGTTGTGTTAACTAGAAAAGGACTCTCGGGACTTCATGTACACAGTGCCGCCTTTCCTGCTTCTGTGAGCAGGAGCTGCAGCCACGACGCACCTCCAAACCCAGTGGAGCCTTTCTTCTAGATGCCTCCTCTTCCCCCACACTGTAGGTGTAAGATACTGCTTAGCGATGCTGAAAAGCAACACGGAACTTATTCAGATGAGCCTGAGCAGCCTCTCATTCTCCAGCCTCCCTTCAGATGCGAGCAGTGCGTTCCCGGACCTTTGAAACACGGCACTGCTGCCCGCTGCCAAGGCAGCTCCAGGCTGCTGGGTACCAAGCTCTGTGGGACTGCTGGGCGCGGCCGTACTTCCCTCACACCTCACGGATGGCCACGGCCCACAGGCACCCCTTGATCCCAGTGCCAGGCCTGCCCCAGCGGCACCCCTGCCCTCACCCCCCCACTTGGTGTACTTTGACTCATGCACATCCTATTAGACGTGGCAGTTTGATGTAGCAACGTGTGTCCCCTTCCCCCGCGTGCGTGTCTGATCTCACGGTTGTATAACTCGAGCGGTCCCCATATATATATTTACTTAACCATTAAAAGGAAAAGGAAACCAACCCATGGCCCAGATATGGAAAAATGCCCCAACCATGTTCCCCACGCACTCCCCATCACACATTCTAATAATTTATATATATAAATATATATATGAAGCTCTTAAAAAGAAAAGCAAACAAGCAAACAAAAACCCTTCCAGAATCAGAGTCCGTTGTGTTCATTTCTCTCTCAGCGCCCAGAGGTACCCTGCTGGACAAGGCGCTCAGCCTGCTGCTGCGGCCCGCGGTGGGCGGGGCATTCGGAGGACACGCCCTCTGCACTGCACCTCCCGCCAATCGCAGCCCTCGCCCGAGGCCCAGTCGAGCCCGTCCTCTACAGGGGGCGGGGCGTGAGCGCATTGGCGCCAATAAGAAGCGGCTGATCTGCATACGACAAAAGCGGCGCGGCAGGGCTCTGTTTCGCGGCTAATGCCTGCCGCCGGTAGCGCGGAGCGGGCGGCAGCCTGCCTAGAAGAACCGTGGGGCCGCTCGGGCTGCGGCCCGGAACGAGCGGCCCACTCGCCCTTACGTAGGGGCATGTCTGCGCCTTGCGGGCCTCCGCGCGAGGCTGTTTCTGGCAGTGATTTCAGCTCTTTTAGTATTTGTCCAGCAGGTTTCCCGCTCTGCGGGAAGCCCCACACTGCAGTGTAATGATAGGGCGCGGCGGCGGGGGCGGTGCTTACGGTGTGGGCGGTGGTTGGCGGTGAGGGGCTGCGCGAGGCATCATGGCGGCTTCCGTGCAAGCTCCGCCACCGGCGCTTAGCGCGGAGCAGGCGAAAGGTGAGCGGTGCAAGATGTGGGTTGGCGCCGGGGGGTCGTGGCGGGGTGTGTGAGGAGTTTATGTCGCCGCAGTGGTGCTGGCAGAAGTAATCAAGGCCTTCGGGGCGCCTGAGAACGTGCAGCGCATGGACGAGGCCCGGGAAAACGCGTGTAATGACATGGGCAAGATGCTGCAGTTCCTGCTGCCCGTGGCCACGCAGATCCAGCAGGACGTGATCAAGGCCTACGGCTTCAGCAGCGATGGAGAAGGTGGGCAGTCCTGGCGGAAGGAGGGCAGGGCTCGTTCTGCCGAGCGCCGTCTTCCTTCTCTCCCTCCTTCCCTCCCTCCCTTCGCAGGGGTGTTGAAGTTCGCCCGGCTAATCAAGTCCTACGAGTCGCAGGACCCGGAGATCGCCAGCATGTCGGCAAAGCTGAAGGCTCTGTTCCTGCCCCCCATGACGCTGCCGCCGCACGGGGCTGGCATTGGCGGGGTGGCCGCCTCGTGACGCCGCCGCCTGGGCTGGTGCTGGGGGTCCCCGGTGCTCCGTCCGGAGCCTTCCCTCGCGGCTGGGGCTGTCTGCGCTGCTGCTCAGCCAGCCCCGAGAAACTGAGTGGTTTAAACAAGGAAGATAATGGCGTGAGACGAACCGGCTTCTTTGTGCATGTTTCTGTTTCTGGCTGTGAATAAAAGACGTCTTGAAAGTGCCCTCGTTGGCTAATGAATGGACAATAAGCTGGCGCAGCTCTGCAGGTATAGGCCCTTCTTCCTGATGCGGGGCAATTATAGCGGTGCCCGCCTCATATGTGGTGAGATCTGAGCTTACTGTACAAGGCATGTACCAAGTTCTGCAGAAAATGCACTTGATGCAAGCTTTAGTATGAAAGCACAACACTTTATAGCTGTCCCTTTCTTTTTTAATGCTGTTAAAGAGATGCTAAGCCTCATCTAGAATCACAGACTAGTATCAGAGTATGACAAGTTGGAAGGGGGCCACAAGGGTCATTGAGTCCACTCCCTGGCTCCACATAGAACCTATCCTAATTCAATTCAAACTCAGTGTCTGAGAATAAGCACTCTCAGCTTCAGCAGACTGGGGCCGTGGACAGCCTGTTACAGGGCCCCACCACCTTCTGGTGAAGACCATTTTCTAACCCCCAACCTGACCTCCCATGATACAGCGCCATGCCATTCCCTCTAGTGCAGTTGCTGCCACCTGGCAGCAGAGCTCAGCCTTGCCCCTCTGCTCCCCTCATGAGGAGCTGTATGCTTCTGTGAGATTCAGAGTCAACTTGCTGTTAACCAGAATTCCCAGACCCCTTCCAGTGGGGCTGCACTCCACCTTCTCTTCCCCTGATAGGATAGATCCAAGGTTGCTTCATCCCAGGTGCAGAATACAGGATTTGCTCATGTTAACCTTTACTTGGTTGGTGATTTCCCAGCCTTCCAATTTGTCAAGAACAAGTATTTACAAATGTGCTATTTGAAACGTACTAGGCAGCATGTTCCTGAAAACAATATTGTCCCTAAGGTACTGTCCAGTGATGTAAATGCAGCTTAGACCACTGTGACCAACAGTCAGTACTGCTAATTCATAGCTTTCCCATACACTCCTACAATGAGCTTCTGTGGCTGTTTTCTTGTTTTCTGTCTAAATGGGATCAAACTTGTCAGACTTCGTGATACAAGTGGCAACATGATGTAGCAAGGACTGGCATACAGAGAGAGAGGGCTGTGCTTGCCCATTTTGGATGCAGGCAATGTATAACTATTCTGCATTTCCCCAGACTGAGAGAGAAGTGGGCTCTCCCTGGTGTGGAATTTTGTTATTTTCACCTTATGAAGGAAGGCACACGAATGTATCATTTTAGCCTTCCAGTACATATGCCTGTTGCCCATGGAAGCACTGGGGTCTTTGGGAAGGGCTGAGAGGAAAGAAGGGCTCCCAGCCGCCACAGGCTGGGAGAGCAAACTATGGCTATGAGAGCTGTGTTGGGTTTTGCCTCTGTGCCTTGGTTACAAACCAGGTAGGAATGTAGCTGGAGAGGGTGTGAGCAGAGCGGATAGGAAATAGGAAGAGCAGTCCATCCCTTCCGTTTCTACCTACCTCTCCCAGCCTGGCCTTTCCCCACCCCTCTAGTTATTTATTAACTACAGCCCAGGAAGTGTTTTGCAAATGGTGAAAACCAAGCCCTCTGCCTGGGGCCTGCTTTTTGCCTAGCCTGGAGCTACCACCTTTAAACTGCCCAGAAACAAACAGAGCTCAGTCAGGATCCTGCCTTTGTGCATCAGACGGGTGAGTCACGGGACACACGGCAAACCCATCAGCTGCTCCTTCCTGAGCCTTGACACCGACTGCCATGATCACCCAGCCATGGCAGCAGAGTACAAGTCCACCTCTGCTACTTCCAATCCTGCTTTATTTCTTCTTGTAGGACCCCCTGGTTTAGGGGTGTGGTACTTCCTTCAACAGCTGCTGTTAACCCCCCATCAGTGGGGATCTGCGTGTCAAGACCCCGATGCCATCCTGTGGGTGAGTGCTCTGTGTGTTAGTTAAGGCAAGAAAACAGAACTGGGGGAGGGAAACAAAGATACTGGCAGTAGGAATTGGGCACACATGGGAAAAATATACCTTAAGCTTGAGGTGCTGGAGGACTAGAGTTTCAGTGTTTTTGTTACTGCTGTTACCATTGCTCCTCCTCACTTTGATAATGAGCGAACAGTTTGTGATGCCCAGCTCACTGCAATTACTCTGCAAGCTGTGAAGCTGGAGCATTTAAAAATGTTTTTGTACAGAGGGATGTCAGGTGGTTGACCTTTTTAATCCTAGCAATTTGTGATTGCTACAATTTTAATTCTTCTTTATGGAAGAGCAAGGCATGCAGTCTTTACCATCAGTATAAATGGGCATTCTGTTCTGAGGACTGCAGTGGTATGGAGTAAAGAAATGCAGTTTGCACTAGTCTGAATAGAACCTTCTTGTCAGGTGGTCAGACAACCTGACCGAGCATCTAGCCTCGGCAGGTTATAGGATGATGGTCCATATGCCCATTCCCTAGGACCAGATGGCCTTCACTGCTATGTACTTCTGGGAAGAACTGCAAGACTGCCTGTCTCAGTGCTGAGAACTAGAAATAGCAAATGCAGTGCTGATTTTCAAAAAGAGTTCAAAATAAAAGCCTCCAAATGTGAAGAAAGCACAGACCATTACAGTTGATATCTGGGCAAGAAGTAGCAGAGAAGGCAACGTCTGTGATATCAAAGAAGGAGTCAGCATCTGCTTTTGTAAAGGCAAATCTTGTGTTGTAAAAAAGCCTGCAGATTTTGAGCAACTTAACAAGTTTGTGCACAAGAGAGACTTGGTTTTCCAAAAGAGGATTTGGCAAGGTTGCCTCATGAAAGGATTTAAGACAAATTCATGACATAAAAGAGAAGGTGGCATTTTTCTTTAGTGAATAACTTGAAAAAATAGGGAAAGGAAAGTAGGAATATCCACTTTTTATAGTAAGTTGGAGGTATCATTGGTGTCATGATAAGTGTCTGACCTGAACTATGTGCTGTTCAGTATATTTCCAAAAGACCTATAAATAGAGCTTGAATATTGAGATGAGAAAATTAACTGTTTTTAGAAAGTTATTCAGGAAAATGGGAAGCTGACTCAATAATTGCAGAAAGACTTTATGATAATGGATGAGCAGGCAATTGATCAGGAGATGAAATTCAATATAGGCATATGTAAAATGATATTCTTAGGATCATCAAATAGTTTGGGTTGAAAGGGATCTTAAAGATCACCTAGTGCCAGTCTTCTCTGTTGTGGACAGGGTTGCCACTCACTAGCTCCACTTGCCCAGGGCCCTATCCAACATGGCCTTGAATGCTTGCAGAAGTAGGGCATCCACAGCTTCTCTGGGCAACATATTCCAGTGCCCTCTGAATAAAAAATTCCTACTAACATCTAACCTGAATCTACTATATTTTAGTTTAAAACCATAATCTCTTGTCCTATTACCACAGACCCCAGTAAAAGGTCCCTCTTTCTCTTTCCTGTAGGCCCTTTTTAGGTACCGTAAGGCAGGTTAATGTCCTCTTGGTGCTGAGGGTCACAGAGCTGAACTCAGTACTGCAGGGGGTGTCTCATGAGAGTGGAGTCTCATGGAGAGGGAACAATAATCATCTCCTCTCTGCTGGCCATATTTCTTTTGATACAGCCCAGGATATGGTTGGCTTACTGAGCTGCAAGTACCAGAATTTCATCCACTAGCACTCCCAAGTCGTGTTCTATTCTCAGTTCTGTATTTGTGCTTGGGATTGCTTGGACTCAAGTGCACTTGGCCTTGTGGAACTTCGTGGAACTCTCACAGGCCTCCCTCTTAAGCCTGCCAAGGTCTCCCTGGATGGTGACACATCGGAGGTTCCCCGTTCCCTACAGAGATCAACAAACATCTCACAGCTTGGTGCTGTTGGCAAAGTTGCTGGGCATGCACTCAATCCCACTGTCCGTATCAGCAACAAAGATGTTAACAGTGTTAACCCCAATACTAACCTCTGAGGAATACCATTCGTCACCTGTCTCTACCTGGACATTGTGCCATTGACCAGAACTCTTTGAATGTGATCATCTAGGTGAATCTTTATTCAGCGAGTAGTCCTTCCATCAAATCCATGTCTTTCCAGTATAGAGACAAGGATCTTGTGTGGGACAGTGCCAAAGCCATTGTAAAAGGTTCCCGTGTTTGTCAGGCACAGTGTGCTCTTGTGGAGAAAAATAACTCAGAATTTACACATGAAACAGTTGTGAGCTAATGGTAACCTCTCAGGAGTGAGATTGTGACAGCATACAAGTCCATGTGCATGTTAGCTTAATGTTCAGTTTTGGCAAGCAAATAGCAGAAATTATCATCATGTCTCTGTCTGTGTCTCATCTTTAATGCTGTTCATTTCTGAGTCATCCTTTGCCCTCTTCTCCAAAACAGTACAACAGAGTTAGACACACCTCAAAGAGGGACAACAGAGATGATTTGGTCTAGGATAGCTTTGTATGGAGACCATCTAAACAGGGTTGGAGTCTTCAGCCTGGGAAACAGGTGAGGAAGGATACAGAATTTAGAGGTTTATAAAATCATGAGCGGGTGGAGTGAACATCAATCAGGTGATGACTGATTTTTCTTTCTACAGCAGTGAAGTATTATTAAAAATGTGCAAGCAATATAAGCAAACCAAAGGAGGTAGTTTACCAGTGAAACTCCTTGACAAAAGATGCTAAATTTCTTACAGATTTGACAATTGACTAAACTAACTTCAAACAGAGACTTAAAGAGTACAGGGAGGAAAAAAACCTCTGTGCATAAATTCTTCTTCTGCTTTTCCTTTGTCAGCCATTTCAACCTCTAGATGGCCCAGTCCAACCCTCTGCTCACAGCTCTAAACCACCATAGTTGAGGTTGCTTAGGGCTTTTTTCAGGTTACTTCTTGCACATCTCTGGGAGAAGTTCCCCAGTCTCTCTGGGAATACTGAGGCAATTGCTGAACCTCCCTTGCTGTGTGCATAGTCTGAATTTCTTTGCTGCAAGCTACGTTTCTTATTTCTTTTCCTTTTGCTGTGTTCCATGGAGAAGAATCACCTCTAAACACCCTGGTCCCCTGTTAGATAGTGTCAGACTGCTATTAAATTCTTTAGCAAGCAACTTTTCTCCAGACTGAACAA